GTTGCCGTAAGGGCGCAGACCTGCTGCGAGGCGTGTGTTTGTCTCTCTGGCAGAAGCATAAAACAGAGGGCTAGTCTCGAATACACGTTTGTTTTCTATCTGTTAGGATTAAAAGTGAGTAAGGACCATAACACCAACATCATTTAGGGAATCCAACATTTAGCCCTGTTTGTGCTCCAGAAGGGCGTGAAAAAGAGACCACTCAGAATAAAAAAATCGCTGAGTTTTATAACCTTATATGTGAAGGCTGAGTCAAAATCAGCCTCAAGTCAAGGCAAAGAGGTTTATTTAACAAGTCAAGGACTTGCCCGAAGTGAACTCCAGAACCAAAGTCCGAACAAAGATAAATCCTGAATGGATGTGTTTTGATTCTTACATACACTCAACACGTTAGTTCGATTGTTTCGTGGTTTTCTTCAGTGCGGAGTAGGATGCATGTCATCGGTTAACACCCCTGCCGGCTGCAGCCGGCTGCGGCCTGGGCCCCGCCCTCGCTGTGCTGGGGGAAGGATCCAGGTGCTCTCGCTTCTGCGTGCGCCTTGCTGGGCAGGGCCCCCGATCCACGTAGCAGGGACAGCATGGCAGTCACTCTCTCCCGTCAGAGAGCCCCAGCCCTTCACGAAGCAGCTGCATTTACGTGAGGCCGCAACGCCAGGCGCCAAACCTTTGTGAAGAGCCTGGGCGCTGTCCTTGGGCTTCCTGGCCCCGAAGTACATTGTGACCAAGGAGACAGACTCGGCCCTTGAGAGAAGGCAGCCTCTGAGGCGGGGCGAGTGGGTTTTACTCCCTCGGCTCCTCGTGTGCTTTTCCGAGTTTAGCTCTCTGCGGGCCTGGGGACGAGGGTGTCAGGAAGGGAGTGGCGTCTCTGGGAAGTTGGCGCGTCAGTTGTCCCGAGACACTCTGGATGTGCCGGTGTTGCGGACGGCGGCGACGGTAGCCCAGTGAGGAGTCGGAGCTCTGCCGGCATTTGTACGCTTGACGCACGGCGGCCACGCCCGGCCCCGGGGGCCCCAGCAGGTGCGAATAACCACAGAACCGCTGCGTAGCCACAGAGGCGTCGTAGTAAATAGGAGAATAATTTGCCAGGAACACGGTGAACAATGAGTGTTAGCTTAACACACAGTGGCATTTTCCAAACGGTAGAACGTTTGTGCCCCAACGGCAAAGGCCTGAAGTCCCAAGTCAGGTTCCGTACGGGGCGGACCGTTCCTCTCAAAGTGACCTCGAGGTGCCGCGACCGGAGCCTGCGCTCGGCGGGGACGTCTGCTGCGGAGCCGCGGGCTGGGGGAGACAGGCAGGCCCTGGAACTGACCGGGTAGGGCCTTTCATTGCGTGTCCCGTCCTGGCCCCAGGAAATGTGCTCACATCTCTTAGGTAAGTGGGTTGCAGAAGTGGGATACTGTGGAATGGCCAGTTACAACTCGTAGCAAACAACACAGGGGCACCTCATCTGTCTTCCAGAAGCCCTTCAGCCATCTACCCTCGCTTAAGTGGAAGGGAGGTTAGAATAAACATGCCAGGAGGTCCCTGTCCTCTGTCACCACATGTCATCAGATGCTGGCCTCTGAAGCCAGTTTGAGGATCTGACGCATAAGCAGATAAATCCTTGCGAGAAGAGATAAAGCTTCCAGGACGTCAGCCGGAAGCCTCGCATCCCTTTTTGTAATTTAAACTGTTTCCCTTGGCAGCTCGGTGAACGTAGGTTTGGGGGAGTAATGCCGTTCGGGGCATGATGTTGGCTAAAGGCAGAGGTTATCGTGACAAGTTCATCTTTCAACTCCTTTTTGCCAAAAAGAGACCCAGAGCTATGCTTGTGCACAGCTGCAGGAGCAGCGCGGCCTGGCCTCACTGTGACGGGCTCGGGGAGACTTCTCGCCAGTGTCCCGAGCTTGAACGCAGACGGGAGACACTCCCTGATGGGTCTCATCAGGGGTCCTCTTCCTCCTGGCGAGGGTCCCGCTTCCCGCTCGGGATGATGCAGCGGCAGCTCTGCCTTGTGGGAAACGCACGTTCCCTCCCGAGCGGCCTGCCGAGCTGGATAGCAGGAACGAAGAGATAAGGACGTGTCCCACGTGACTGGCTGGTGCAATGTGTCCCAGGGGCCAGAGTGAGTGTTTTTCTTGGAGAGATTTGGAAGCTGTGCTAGTTGGGCAGCGTCAGATACGCTCACCTAGGACACTGTCTCGCTCTTTGTTCTAGAAAAGCCATTCCCAAGGTCCTGCGGTGCAGCACACGGAACTACAGTCAACGCCTTGTAACAGCCTATCGTGAAAAAGAATAGGAAAAGGAGTGTGTGTGTGTGTGTGTGTGTGTGTGTGTGTGTGTGTGTGAGACCGAATCACTGTGCTGTGCACCGGAAATCAACACAACTTTGTAAACCGACTCTGCTTCAACTGAAAAAAAAAGCTATTGCCTTCAACATGAGAAGAAAGGGCATCTTGGCCGTTGCATAGAATGAAGTTTTATCCTGGAAAAGACTTTCCAACTTTCCGATTGGACTTTGAAAAGTCATGGTGTGTAAAACACTCTTACGTTTTGTCATCAATAGCACCTCAGCCTGAAATACATTTAAGTCAATTTGAAACTCATCTTTGATTAAGAACAGGGGCTTGAAAAGTCCATTTTTCCATTCCCAGTCATACAGCAGTGAGCTAGGATCTTTCCAAATTCTATTTTATGTAAGAAATTTGACGGCCGCGTTACCACCATTCATCACGTCGTCGTCTTCCTCAGCGGTCGTGCTTTTCTGTGCCAGTTTTCCAGCTCACACGGCAATTACCCTCTCCCCCCCACACACACACACACACAGAATGGGAATAAGCTGCACAAAGCCAGTGAAAATCCCAAAAGTGGTTTTTTAAATCATTGTGTGCAGAAAGCAGCTTAGAGGAGGCCAAGCTTTAAAAACATGGCAAATGAAATGGGGCTGCGTTGCTCGGAAGCCTGAGGGCTGCGGCGGCGGGAACCAGGACTGGACAGTTTAGCTCCTGACGTGTGAAGTCTGCGTGCATTGAGAGAAATACTGCCTTGAAATTGCCTTGAAGGATTGTGCTTTGGAACCCTTTCTACATTTTCTACAGTGTGAATATGCATCCGTGGCCGGAAATAAAATGCAGTTCTTTTTTTGAGAGATTAGTGTTGTTTGTGAAAGGCTCCCCAACTTCCCCACTCGCCACATCCTCTGCTTTATTGAAACAGCCTCTCCCTTCTGTGACTGGTGGTGTCCATGTGCCTTCCATACATAGCACAGGACTCGTACCACGAGCCTGCCCAGGAGGGGTCCCGGCAGAGCCCAGAGCCTCCCACGCCCGCACCGAGTGCTTAACCTTTAATCTTAGAGAACTGTGTGTGTGTGTTTGAAAAACAATAATAATGCTAAATTGAGTCGCTCTCTCTGACTTGTCTAGCCAGGCTCCGGCTTCTGTATTGTATTGCACCGTATAGGCCTGAACTCTGAACTCTGGTCTCTCAAGTAGGTTAAAGATTGTTTGAAGCACTAAGCCCTGGCCCTGGCTCTCCCCTCTCTTAATTTTTTCATGGAAATAGGATTAGAAGCAGAGGAAATGTGATATATTTATAAGGCAACCATTAAAAAATCATTTTTTCCAGGAATACGTCGTGTCACGAGTGGCACTCACAACAGGACGTTCAGGGGTAAACGGGGTATGAGCAGGGCTCTGCCCGGAGCTGGTTTATGCAAGTTTATAAAAAGGCTCGGGAGAACATCCCCGAGACATTGCAGGCAGTGTTCTTGACAGAGTACCTGCGGGCTGTTTATTATTTCTTTTATATTTCCCGCCATATTTTTCAGAGTAAAATATGTATTGATTTCCTAATAAAAAACATAAAACTTTACTTATTTTAAAAACTCTTCAAAGGGGAACAGCAGGAGCGTCATCCCAGCAGGCCAGGAGGAAATCAGCATCGCTGTTGAAAGTAACCGCAGGGCCTCGGTCTGTTGACTGCAGACCGTGAGCTCCATGCTCACTGTGTGGGTCAGAGTGTCCCTTTGGCGAGAAACGCGGCAGGTGCAGACCCTACCGGGGGCGCCCCAGGAGCGGTGGGGACCTGCCGGCGTCATGGCGGTGCGCCCGCTCCCCCGGCTCTGTGTGTCCAGCCGCTCTGAGATGCGAGGTCTGGCCTGGCTCTGCCAGCCTCCCCGGGCCTGATCGGTGCTGGGCGCCGGCTACCGGGGCCAGAGCATTGTCACGCGAGCCGTCAGATGAAGTCATCTGTCACTGACTGTGCTTTCAAAGGGAGCCACGGTGACAGTTACTCACCCAGGGTAAAGAGAACACAAAACAAAGGTAGCAGAGGCCGCTGTGCAAGAAAAACAGAACCAGGGCTGCAGGGACAGGACCTCACCGCACTCCTGGCCCAGGGGCAGGTGTTTGGTGTTGCGTAAGGATCGATCAGCCACGGTTTTAAAATGAGCCTCAGGTGGTGTCTGGGAAGCGAACAAGGGAGCTTAAGCCAGGACGAGGCAGATTCAGTAACGAGTTCACTCATCACGTCTCGTGGCCAAGAAAAACATGCACCTTCTCCACAGACAGAACCTTCCTTCCCTTCCGGGAGGCGGGAGCACACTCAGTGTGTGGTGTCGGGCTTTGGGAGGAGCACGGTTCACGAGCCGTCTTCTGCACCCTGCTCGCGGGCCGGTGGGAGGGAAATCGTCGGTGCCTGGAGTCCCTCTGTGTCAGGGATGCCACCTCTGTGAGAATGAGCCGGCCCGTGCGTCACCTCCCACCTGGGCGCGGAGCCGCCTCTCACATCGGTGTGCGTGCCTGTGCCCCCCCCCCGGCTCCCGGAGCGGCACCCGGGGGCGACAGTCACCGTGCAGCCGTGTGGGGCTGCCGCGGCCTCTCGCCCCCGAGATCGCAGGAGCGGTGGTTACAGGGCTTTAGTCTCGTTCAGTTGTCTTTGATGTGGGGACTTGAACTTGATAAAGAGATTCCAGCTTCACGCTTTAGGCTGACCTTGGCTCTTTTTTTTCACCTCAGATCATCCAGCCCCTCTTAGAACTTGACCAAAATAGAAGCAAACTAAAGCTGTACATCGGACACCTGACAGCCCTCTGCCACGACCGAGACCCCCTGATCCTTCGAGGACTCACTCCGCCAGCTTCCTACAACCTGGACGACGACCAGGCCGCGTGGGAGAGCGAGCTGCAGAAGATGACCCGGGAACAGGTGGGCCTCGCGCCTGGCGGGGCAGCGTCCTGGCAGAGCCGGCAGCTGCTCAGGCCACTGTGGGGGGCGCCACCTCGGAGGGGCCGGTGCGCAGAGTCCAGGCTCTGAGCGATGCTTGGTCTTTCAGCAGACGTTAGGAGTTCGCATTGGAAGCAGGTCCCGCTTTACTCCTGCTTCTGCGTGACTTGCTCGAGAGTCAGGAAGGGCTGGTTTAGAAGGGAGGGGGCTCAGGAGAATCTGTCCACGGAAGTGACAGCCACTAATGAAGGTGCCCTTGCGGGGGAGTCTGGGTGGGGATGTCTGGATCCTTGACGAATCTCCAGTTGTCTCTGGGGAACTGAGGGTCACAATCTACCAAGTCCTGTGAGGTGAGCTGGTCTGGGTTACGCTCTTGGGCTGCATTTTCTGTTTACTGCTGTCTGAAGTCCACCGGTTCTCTTTTTTGTCAATTTGTGATTTGTTTAGTTCAGTAAAGAAACGAGAAGGCTAGGCTGGAGACAAAACCACGAACAAAAGAAACAAGGAGGAAACAGGATGAGGAGAGAGAGAAAGCAGACGTGGGAAGCGAAGGAAAGAAAAACTGGGTAAACGTTGAGAAATTAAAGTAGGAAAAGAAACAGAGCCGTCTTAAAACATTAATCTCAGGCCGCTTTTGTTCCTAGCTGCAGCTGGGGGGTAGCGGGGGGGTTCCCCAGCCCCTCGTAGACTGCTCACCCCAACCAGGAGACACAGGGGGTGCAAATTTGCTGAAACTCTTCATCAGAATGGTGAAGCTGTGCCGTTTTCCAGCCAAGTGCTTCCTGTTTGTTTACACATAATGCGTGAAGGAAGACTGTGCTGAATAGGACACCTCCCGTGGGGCGGGGTTACAGGTGGCAGTGCCAGCCCGCAGGTGGAGACGTGCACTCCGGGGTCAGGGCCGGACTGACTGCCCCGCGGTGTGGACGCGGCCTCGTAACTGCCCCAGTTAACGACAGCCTGCCAGTTACCATTCTTACTTACGTGATGGGAAAGGTAAGGCCTCCCTCTCAGATTCGCACGTTCCGTAGAAATTTTCACTTCTTTCTTCTTGAAAGAAGGAAAAACTTAAAGGACAGAATTACATGGATTTCTGGTAGCTCCTTTTGATACTAACAGCCACATAGGAAAAATGCAACTGAAAGGCACATGGCTGGTTAGCTTTAGAAGCTTCAGGATCTTGGAGCGAGGCAGCACATCTTAGAACCCTGACACAGAGGTGCACCGAAGCTTAACTGGCATTAAATTACTTCTTTGTGAAACAGCTTGTCTTCGAAATGAAAAAAGTGTTTTGGCTCCGTCCTGTTTCTCAAATATGCCTGAACAGACTTAGTCTTTTCTCAGGAAAAAAAATGTATCTTCAGGGTGAGACCAAGATAGAAAATTTCAAACCAAGAATTTTTCAGTGGACATGCCACTGCCCGGGACGTTGCAGTCCAGCTACCACAGTCACCAGGACAGTTCCGCTCCCGTGCCAGGGTCGCGCCAGTGTCGCCGCGTCTCTGCCTGACTGAAGACGCGCTTCCGCTGCCTGCGGTGTTGCAGGAGGCATGAGAGGCTGCGTCTTCAGCAGCACCCGGGCCGCCTGGGGAGCCGGTGCCAGGGGTCACCTGTCAGGGAGCACGGTAGCTAAGCACACCTTCCGGAAGCTTCTCCGAAGCTGCTCAAGATCGGCGGGGAAACCAACCAATTTTCTGCCACCAAGTAGGAGCTTAAGGGAGCGATGCAGGCTCCTGAGAAAGGTGACCTGTAGCAATACAGTGACCTGCCTCCTGTGGTCGGGGCTGGACTGCAGGTTTTGGAGCCCAGGATATGAGACGCTGACCGCGGCTGAGTATGCGCGCTGGTCTGTTCCACGGGTGTCTTCTTTGGGGCTGCGGCCTCCCGCACCCGTCGTTGTGCCGTTCAGCTCTGTGCGTCCCGTGTGCCTCACCGCCACACGCCCCCCTCGCTGGCACCCCGTGAGGACAGGACCAGAGCCTCGTCCACCTTTTCAACACTGTGTCCCCTGTACGGAGAATGCTGCCTGGCATGCAGCGCCTGCTCCATGAAGACTTGTTGAAGGAATGGGGGGGCGGGGGAGGCGGCAGGTGGGCTCGGTGCGCACCGGTTGTCACGGTCCTTGGCCTTGGTGCTGCACGCACACCTCGTCTCGCCCTCTCCTCGATGTGCAGCCCTTAGACCGCTCGGCTGCGTGCCGTTCTCACACTCCTGCCCTGTTGCTCACGATGGTCCTTCTGCCTGCGCTGCCCTCCCTCGGTCTCCCTGGGGAGCCCCTGGATGGGACTCTGAGCTTGTTAAAACTCAGCTCGGACCTCATTTCTTCTCTGATTCTTCCTGACACCCTGGCCCGATGTGCGGCCCCCTCGGGGCGCCTGGAGCGCCCGTGGCGCTCGGGTTTTACTGGTTTTCATGTCTGTCCTCCCGTTCTAGGCAGCCTGCCTGCGGCAGGCAGGAATCGGGTCCTTTTCATCTTAAAAACCAGCACCACAGTAGGTGGTTGGTGCTTGCTCAGTAACTTAGTGAGTGAGTGAATTCTAGTCCATTGTTTTGTATTTCGTAATTATGGTTCTTATTCTCCAGTTAGATGAGTTTCTTCACTGCCAGACCCATGTCTGTCTTCTAAAGCCACAAACCACGTGTGGAAGGAGTGCTTAGCACACGCCTCGCTGATTATTTATCTGCTGACTCAAGACGGGTTCCCCTGGGCCACTCAGTAGCTTTGGATGCTCTGACTGTCGGTGTAGGAGCCGCCCAGGCCCTTGTCCTTCTCCCAGTGTGGCTGTTTCAGAGCAAGACTCGGGGCGCAGGCGGGGGCGGGGCTTCCTCTCCTGCGTCCATGCGGCTCGGGCGTGAAGGGCCCGCGCCTCAGCTCCAGGCGCCTGGGACCCGCCTGCTCCCCGCTCCGGCCCGTCTCTCTGGCCTTCGTTTCCCTGACTCCTCCACCCCGGCCTCATCTCTCCGTGGGCGGGGCGCTGTGAGAATCAGCGCTCGTGGGCGGAACTTGCTGAGGTCAGCAGCGTCGTTTCCAGTTGCTGTTTTACTAAAAACCAGTCTGATGCGCCCCACGGCCACCTTGGAACCGTCCCTTGTTCTGGGGTCTTGAGTGTGGGACTTCCGACCCTGCTTCTCAGTCGTATCTGGGTTTCTTAATTTCAGTCTTCTTGTCGCTCTAGACCCACGTTGTGACCCAGGAGAACAGTGTTAAATATACACTTTGGGTCACAAACATTCTTTTGCAGACGATTCCAGAAGAGTGTTTCCTCTGTGAAGACCTACAGTGGCCACGTTTTCCGTCATATGCGTTGAGCTCCGATCTCGGCCCCCACGCTCCTCCCTTTCTTGCGTGTGGCTACATGTACCAAGTTATCGTTCGTGAACTTTTCCAAGCATTCAGAAAACGTGTGGGGATGAGTGTAGCATCACCTTGGTACTCAGAATTAACGAGTATTGCTTTGTTCTGCTTCAGACTTTCTAAATGGTAAATGTAGTTAAGTCCTCTCTGTGCCCAGTTCCATTTTTCTGTTTTCACCTGCAGTGGCCACCACTGCCCTAAACCGGTGTGCAGCTCTACAGGCCTCGTTTCCACCTTCTGGCGTACATGTTTGTTTCCACAGACGAGGTGCAGTGTTGTTCAGTGTGATACAAAGTTGAAATAAACGGTATCAGACTACACGGGCTGTCTTTCCGTTCATCACCGTGTACTGAACCCGTGCCCCCACTCACTTGGTATCGGAAGAGAGACGTGGCCGTAATTTTTCAGATAAGTGTAAATCTTACACCGTTTTACGTGTGGCTCTGGAGCCCCAGAGGGGCTTTCTTTTAAAAAGCAGATGGAGGTGGTGTCAGAGTAGGATGCTGTGACGGCACAGAGAGGCTGCACTGAGGACGGCAGACTCAGGCGTCGCTGTGTGTTCTAGGGCAGCCCACGCTTGACCGCGGTCCGTCATCTTCCAGAATCCCAGCTCATAACTGAAATTCCAGGCCCCGTTTCCCACACCATGCCTCCTGCAGAAGGCAGCTCCGCCTCCTTCCCGAGTCCCTTGCCAGCTGCTGGGCAGGCGACCTCATCAGTCTCCACGACTGCGGCCCTGGCACCGGCTCACACAGAGCTGACGGCCGCTCGAGGAGCAGAGCCGCAGTTCCGAGGTCACCTGCCTCAGAGCTGTGACAGTGGTGGGAAATTTCCCACTGACACTTTGCAGACACATGGCTCTCCCTTCAGTAAATACACAGGCAGTCTGAGATTTTAAATTTCTTAACTTAGTTATTTTCATAGAGCTCAATGACTGGGTCCTGGTGAGTTTGGGGGGGCTAACACTGCATTTGCCGTAAACGTCGTGTGTGTTTTTAGAAGGTTATACTGAGCACAGGCTTCGTGTCAGTTCCTAGATGCCGCGGGGTGGGGTGCTCCGGGTGTTTGCAGGTGTGGGTGCTGGGAAGACCGCATCCCTGGCTCAGCCTTCCTCGTCCCTCTGCTCGGGCGCGCAGCTGGGCTGCAGCCTCACTTTGTTCTGCCTGGAGGGGCTGTGCTCACTCCTGAGCGTCACCACGGGAGAGCAGGCAGACATCACCACATCCCCCTTCTTCTTGCATGAGGCACACTGAGTGGCCCGATAGGGCCTGGACGGCTCCTTCCAGCTCAGACCTGCTCCCCTGCAGCCCCAGGAGAGGATCACCTCCACGAAGCCCCTGTGCCCCTGCAGCTGCCTTCCAGCCCAAGGAGAGAGACGGCTGCCTGAATGTTCCAGGCCTAGTGTGCCGACCCAGCACTGCCGCTGCCTCGGGGGGAGGAGAGTGAATAGCAGATAATTTAAAATGTCTCTGCAGGGGCTCTTTATCCTCCCTCGGGGCTGTGCTTTGCCAACACCTGTCCTGCCCTGGCACAGTTGGCTGAACCCACGCAGTTCACTCCTAAGCCCTGTCTGGGGACCATGGGCAGCCGGCCTGGGGCTGATGGAGCAATGATGGAGAGAGGCCCC